ACGTTGCTGTCGCCAATGAGTATTCTGATCAGCACCATCAGCACGGTGTGCACATACTGCAGGGACGGAAAGGGGTGAGCGCGCCCCCGCACACTCGACTCGCCAACCTCCCCCTCATGCACCGTACTCCGCCGCATCACTTCTCTGCCGCCCCATCATCATAAAAGCATCACCAGCATCACATCACCATCATCAGAATCCGCCGGCCCGTTGTGGGTCTCTAGGCGTGTGAGATTATCCCCCCCACAATTCGCCCCCAGGGACCCCAAACCTGCAATTTGACCCCCCCCTGGCCCGGCGCGACCCTCGACTGAACGCGTCATGGGGGAGCGGAGGTGTCCAAAACGGGCCAAGAAGGGCACCAAAACGCGCCCCAGGCGGTCCCAGAGGGCCACGAGTCGCAGAAAGATCGTTCATTGACGCCCACGATGGCCTCCAGACGGCCTCCAGAGCTACCGACACGCCCCAAAAGGCCCCCAAGATGCGTCCAAAGAGGGTCCCAGAATAAATTATCCTGGCGAAGGTCCCAACCATATGCAGTTGTGGGTACCGTGATTGTGTGAATATCTGATTCGGTGAAGCTCCCTATGGGGCCACGAAGCGCTGCACTGGGCGGGGGGGAACGCTGTACTGTGTGGGTGGTGCCGAATTGGGTTTCCAGGACGCATGCGGACGGTCCCACTGAGGGCTTCGGTGGAGCTCCCTGTGGGGCCACGAAGCGCTCTACTGCTGGGGGCTTCGGTGGAGCCCCCCTGTTGGGCCACGACACGCTGCACTGCACAGGAAAAAATGCCAAATTACATTTCCCGGACGCAATCGGACGGTGGCACTGGGGCCTTGGGTAGAGCCCGCTATGGGGCCACGAAACGCTGCACTGGGTGGGTGAAAATGCCAAATTGGGCTTCCGGGACGCATGCGTACGGGGGCACTGGGGCCTTCGGTGGAGCTCCCTATGGGGCCACGAAACGCTGTACTGGGTGTGCGGGACGCATGCGGACGGTAGCGCTGGGACCTTCGGTGGAGCTCCCTATGGGGCCACGAAACGCTGTACTGGGCATGCGGGACGCATGCGGACGGTAGCACTGGGACCTTCGGTGGGGCTCCCTATGGGGCCACGAAACGCTCTACTGGGTGGGTGAAACGCACGGAGGAGGGGGAGGAGGGCCACGAAACGCTGTACTGGGTGTGCGGGACGCATGCGGACGGTAGCTCTGGGACCTTCGGTGGAGCTCCCTATGGGGCCACGAAACGCTGTACTGGTGTGCGGGACGCATGCGGACGGTAGCACTGGGACCTTCGGTGGGGCTCCTTATGGGGCCACGAAACGCTCTACTGGGTGGGTGAAACGCACGGAGGAGGGGGAGGGCCACGAAACACTGTACTGGGTGCGCGGGACGCATGCGGACGGTAGCACTGGGGCCTTCGGTGGAGCTCCCTATGGGGCTGTACTGGGTGTGCGGGACGCATGCGGACGGTAGCACTGGGACCTTCGGTGGAACTCCCTATGGGGCCACGAAACGCTGTACTGGGTGTGCGGGACGCATGCGGACGGTAGCTCTGGGACCTTCGGTGGGGCTCCCTACGGGGCCACGAAACGCTGTACTGGGTGGGCGAAACGCAGGGAGGAGGGGGAGGAGGGCCACGAAACGCTGTACTGGGTGTGCGGGACGCATGCGGAAGGTAGCACGAGGAGGGGGCCGAGGAGGAGAGGAGAACGCGGGGCGACGTCTTTTCAAAACGAAGACCCAACACCACAGGATGGTTGGGAACAAAATCGTCCCATTCCCTTCGGGAAAAAAAAACATGTTTCGCACGTTCGCCTCTTCGGCTTTCAGAACGTCCAAGACGGGCAAAGAAACCCTCAATATCGCCCCGGACGGCCGAGGGGGCCCCCAAGAGGGGCCGAAGAGGGTCCCGAACGAGCCCACGAAGCCCCCAAGACAGCCCAAGAAGGCCCCCAGACGGCCCCAACAGAGTCCAGAGGGCACCTTTTCGAGCCTTCGGCCCCAAGACGGCCCAAGCCTGCCCCAAGAACACCACAAGAGGCCCTGAAGGACTCCCAAGAGAACCTCAAAGGCCTCCAAGAAACCCCCAAGAAGCCCCCAAGAGGCCCCACGATTTGGCCCCAGATGCCTCGAGGCGGCCGGATATGGCCTGCAGACAGGCCAGATGCCACCAAAAGGCTACAAGAGAGCACCAAGAGGTACGATAACAGCAACGAAGCAACAGCAACGATGTCGAGCGCCGTGTCATGATTCGGACAAGCCTCGTGAAATGCAGCCCTGGACGCGCAACAGTTTATATAGGGGTCGGCGGATCTGGCGAAAGCCTATTAAATATCCAGCATCACCATCATTATCGTCATTACCCAACTCATCATCACCATCATCACCACCATCATCATCATCATCATCATCATCACCATCATCATCATCATCATCATCATCATCATCATCATCATCATCATCATCATCATCATCATCATCATCATCATCATCATCATCATCATCATCATCATCATCATCATCATCATCATCATCATCATCATCATCATCATCATCATCATCATCATCATCATCATCATCATCATCATCATCATCATCATCATCATCATCATCATCATCATCATCATCATCATCATCATCATCATCATCATCATCATCATCATCATCATCATCATCATCATCATCATCATCATCATCAACATCAGCATCATCATCATCATCACCATCACCATCACCATCACCATCACCATCATCATCATCATCAGCAGCATCATCATATCCTGCTACACCCCAGGCCACCCCGACATTTCTGGGGGGCGGGCGTCACGGGCGATTCCACCGAAGGGCGCAGCGGCAAGCGAGCAAGACGCACAGAGGAGAGAGGAGGAAGGAGGAGGACCCAACGCACCCACACAACACCGAGGAGGAAGCCCGAGCCCGAGAGGAGAACTGGCGACGAAGAACGACGCCGATAAGGCATAAACTTGAGCAACAAAACATTAGCAGGAGTATCTAGCGGAGATCGGATAGGCTAGGGTCACCATGCGTTTGAAGCCTGAAACCCCGCTTGCTTCGCAATTAAATCAGAGAAGTAGTTGCACAGCTTAACGGGATACGGCTCGGCGAGGCGAGCCCGAAGGATACCAGAAACGGGGTCGAGGCCAGAGAGGACTACGTCGGGCTATCCTGAAAAAAACAAAGGCCTTTTCTACAACTGCAGCGGGGCTTCACGGAGACCTCAGGGTGATGACGGGCACAGCAGGCCACGCGGGTGCGCTTCCTCCAGCGGGCCCCGAACGCGCACATGCCAATGTTGAACGACATGGCGTCCTGGGCCCCGAGGAGGGCCTGCAGCGCCGATGTAGACCAGACCCACGAGCACCCTGGGTTCTCGAGGTAGATTGGGATTCCGAGCGAGCGGCAGAGAGCGACGAGGCCAAGGACGAAACCTGAGCTGCTGGTTCCCGAGGTCGACGGCCGCCTGCGGCCTGGCACCCAGATCGGGCAGCCCCCACATGTGGCTCTTCGAGCGAATGGTGCACCAGGAAGACCCCGGCAGTCTGCGGCGGGCCTGGCCCCAGGAGCTGCACGGCAGGGCTGCCCAGACAGCTGAAGCCACACCGCCCCGCACCCATCCACGGAGGGTCTGACGGACGGTGGGATCGTCGAGATCGAACAAACGCTTACAAGCGAAATCCATCAGCAGCGCGGCGATGTCTCGGCGCCGCAGCGCCGACGACAGGCGGCCCGCCCCGGCGAACAGCTTCAGGACGACGGTTCGGGGGGAGCCCTTCTGACGTCCGAAACTGCCATGAAGTTCACGGAGGAGGTGCCGACAAATGGACGTGGTCGACGGGCCCCCCTTGATGGGTCCAGCGAGCTCTACCGCCCGCTCGAGGTCAGGCACAGCGCGGGCAGCGGCGCCCCGTCCATGAAGACGCGAGGCAGCGCGGCTTCCATGGCCTGGCCGACACCGATCACCTGCAAGCCCACGCGCTGGGGTTCGCTGATGATCCGAGTCTGCTTCGCGTAGCGCCTGAAGTTCTTGTCGGAGGCCCACCCTCCGCGCTGCTGGACGTCGAGAGCGGCCCGCCTCATCGCCAGGAGGTCGCCTGACGCCCCCCCATGACGCAGCCCGTAGACCAGGACAGGGAAGGCTCTCAGCCCTAGAGCGCAGGCCGCCCCCCCCATGCCCAGGCCAAGCGAGGCGGGAGGGAAGGACCAGAGCCGTGACCTCCCCGACGGAGCTCGCCGCTTCAGCCCGAGGAGAGCTGGGGCCAGGAACGCGAAGGTGTCGATCGCCACTGTGAAATCCCAGAGGCCCGCCTTCCCTGGTCGGCCCAGCTCGCCTGGATCGAGCAGCAGCGCGGCGAGCCCCGAGCCCCGGGCGCCCGCCGCGACGGGGGGGCAACCCTGCATGGCCGTCAGCAGGTCGCACTCGGACGGCCCCAGGTAGCAAGCGAAGCTCAGAATCATCGCGATCCTCTGCTTGACCTGGCCGCGGTGGAGCATCGCGCCTGCCAGCGCGGCCACCAGCAACCCAAGCATCGGCATGCGCACCCAGCGGGGGACGCACTTCCCCCGCCCCCCAGGGCTGCGGGGGGGCACGGCACAATGTCAGGTCTCCCCAGCGGCCGATCCCGGTCCCTTCCGCGCCAGTGTTAGGCCAGTGTTGGGGCGTTTTGGGGGCGTCTTTAGCTCTGTGCTCTGCGCGCGGAGCGGGAGGAACGGGAGGCGCAGGAGCGGGAGAGCGGCAGCGAAGACGGCAGTGAAGACAAGGAGCAGCCTTCGACAAGAAAACACAAGAACGCTTCACAAATGAAGCTCCACAGCGACGGGCCTGAAATCGACTTTAAAATAAAGTATGTATACATACAAACAACAAAACAAAGAACAACAACAACAACAAAACCAAAAAAATGTTGGTTCACGTTGGTAGCTTGTCAAGTGTAGAACGGCTTCTGCTGTATTTGAACACAAAAAACCCAGGGCGACTTAAGAAGACCCAAGCGTATGGTTGAAGTCCCAGGAATGGTGTTATGGCACGGTTCTGGACTGTCAGGACGCAACTGTGACTTTGATTCGCTGCGTTGAAGTCAAAGGATGGTTCTCTGGCACAGTTTAGGACCGTCAGGATGCAACAGTCGCGTGGAGTCGCGGCGCTCAAGTCCCAAGAATCGTGTGTCGGCACGATTTCGGATTCTCAAATGGTTGTCTTCAAATGTGGCAATTCCAACAATAACAAACACAACTGTAGGGACCTATGAAGAGAGAGCGTGTACAGAGAAAGAGAGAGAGTATCGCCAAAGCTTTTATGCGTCTTGGGCTTCCACTGGTCTTCCTCCTCCTCATCATCATAATCGGCATCATCATCAACACCACCATCACCACTACCACCACCATCAGCAGCAGCATCAAAACGAATCCCACCAGCCCTCTGGGCGTAGGTGGTGTAAAGATGTTACTTCTTTCCTCTTCCAAAAACCCTCTTCCCCTTCGGGGAGGGGTTCACCCCTCCACCTACCCCCTCCCCTGGACTTTTTGGGGGTTGGGTCGCGGGTGGTCGGAGGGCCCTTTTTCGGCCCCTGAGAGGGCCAATTTTTGACACCCCTCACGAGGATCGTGGCCCCGAGGGGGGACCTCGATCGGGAGCTCCCTCCTTTGATCGATAGCCTCGAAGATGGCCCCAAGAGGCGCTCCAGGGCTCCCAAGAGAGCCCCAAGAGAGCCCCAAGAGGGCTCCACGAGGGTCCCAAGAGGGCCCCAAGAGGCACCCGAGAGGCCCCCAAGAGGCCCCCGAGCGGCCTCAGAGAGCACAAGATGACCTCCAAGCTGGCTCAGATAGCCCAAGCTGGCTCAAGATGGCTCCCAAGATGCTACAAACGGCCCCAAGACCGCTCCAAGAGCGCCCAAGAGCGCTCTAAGAGAGCCCAAAGAAGCGGGTCGCCGGCTCCTGAGGGGGGAGCTGAGTTCGGGGGCCCCCATCCTGCAATCGATGGCCTCCAAGATGATCCCAAGAAGCCTTCCAGGGTTACCAAGAGGGTTCCAAGAGGGTTCCCCAAACTCCCAGACAGCACCAGCAGCAGCAGCAGCCTAGTCCTCGTCCTCCTCGTCCTCGTCCTCATCCCCATCCTTGTCCGCCTATTCCTCCTCGTCCTCATCCTCCTCCTGCTCCTCCTTTTCCCCTCGCCCCCACGCGGCCCCCAAGGATGGCCGGAGGAGGCCTTCCAAGGCCAGCCCCTTGCTCCCAGAGATCTCTCGGTTCACCCTGGTTGCTCGCTTTGTTTCAGTAGATGTGTCTCTTCGTCCCTTTTCCCGTCAGCTCTCATGGGCAGGGCTTCCGTCAGCTCTCATGGGCAGGGTTTCTGAATGGGCTGGTGGGGATACGCGAAGCGTGAATCATATCACCAGCATCACCGTACTCAACGTCATCCTCACACTCATGATACTCACCGACAGCAGAAGCATACTGTAAGCATGATCGGTACAATCCACGAAACGAGTCAACATCGACAACATCATCATCATCATCATCATCATCATCATCATCATCATCATCATCATCATCATCATCATCAGCATCATCAGCATCATCATCATCATCATTATCAGCATCAGCATCAGCATCATCATCATCATCAGCATCATCATCAGCAGCAGCATCATCATTATCATTATCATCATCACCATCATCATCACCATCATCAGCAGCAGCATCATCCTCAGCATCACCATTATCATCCTCATCATCCTCTTCATCATCATCATCACCTCCACCGTAATCATCAGAATCATCAGCAGCACCATCATATTCATAGTCGTCATCATCATCATCCGCATCATCATAATCTGCATCATCAGCAGCATCATCATCCATCATCACCATCACCATCACCATCGTCATCGGCATCAGCATCATCGTCATCCGTCACCATCATCATCAGCAGCAGCATAACCATAATCATCATATGTTTCATCATCGTCGTCATCAACAAAGAACAACAGCATCGTCGGCATCATCAGCAGCAGCATCATCACCACCATTATCATCATCATAATCTGCATCATCAGCATCGTCAGCATCATCACAATCACCATCGTCATCATCATTACCACCACCACCACCACCATCATCATCATCAGCAGCATCGTCATCACCATCATCAGCAAAGCAATTTCATCATCATCGTCATCATCGTCATCATAATTATCACATCATCGTCGTCATCAGCGTCGTCATCATCACCATCATCATCGTCATCCAAATCATTATTGCCACCATCATCACAATCATCGATCATCACCATCATCAGCAGCAGCACCATCATCAGCAGCATCACCATCATCATCACAAGCAGCCGTATCATCAACAACATCATCGTCATCGCCAACATCATCACCACCGCCACCACCATCATTATCATCATCAGCATCATCATCCACGGCATCTCATCATCAGCAGCATCAGCATCAGCAGCAGCAACATCATCACCACCACAACACAAGTATCATCATCACCACCACCACCACCATCATCAGAATCAGCATCATCATCAGCATCATCATCATCAGATCATCATTACCATCGTCAGCATCATAATCAGCATCATCAGCATCATCAGCATCACCATCATCATCAGCATCACCATCATCATCAGCATCATCAGCATCATCATCAGCATCATCATCTCCATCCATCCATGCATCTATCCATCCATCCGTCCCCGTCCGTCGTCAACATCCAATGTCATGAAACACTAACGTCGTGAAAGGTCGCGGCCTGGGGGCCAACGGCTGGAAGGTCTCGACCCCGTCCCCACAACTGGGCGTTTGAGCAAAATCAATCCGTGAGGGTCACTGGGCCAGAGCCGGCGCAAAAAAAAGCTCGCATTGTTTCCTCCCTGGCGCCCGGGTGTAAAGGCTCGTCTCCTTGCCTCCCCAATCCTCCTTCCGTGCATCTACTCCACCCCTCCCACCCTCATCCCCTTCGTCCCCCTCCTACCCCCTCCAACCCCTCCCTATCCACCTCCTCCCACTCAACCCTCATCCCTATCGTCCTCCATCCTCATTCCCATCGTCCCACTCCTACCCCCTCCTTCCGTTCGTTTACTCCACCCCCCCTACCCCCTCCCCGTCCCCATCGTCCCCCTCCTCGCCGTGCTCCCTCTCACGAGCTACTGGGGGAGGGGGGGCGCCTTGCAGCTGCAGTTACCTGTTATGTCGAGGATCGAGATCCCGCAGCCTGGTGCCACGCCGCGGAAGGGAGGCGCGGGAGGAAGAATGGCGTGCCTCCCCCCTTCCTGCTGCGCCTCCCCCTCCTCCTCCTATTCCTTCCTCTTCCTCCACCTCCTCCTCCGCCTCCTCCTCCTCCTCCTCGTCCTCCTCCTCCTCTCCCCCCTTGGCGCGCTGCAGCAACGGCCTCTCGACCCGTGCGAGGCGGCCCGATGAGACGCGGTTTCAACTCCGACGCCGCCAGCGTGCCGGCCTGTCCAGGGCCACGCGGGAGGAAGAGGAGATGCGCAGATCGCGCCTCTGTCGTCGTGGGAGGCTCGGAGTTCGAGGGCGCTCCCTGCTCCTCGCACGGCGGTGGGGTCCAGCTCGGAGAGCTGGAGCCTGTGGAGGCGTCGCCTCCGCCCGAGGTCGGGCGCCCGCGCGCGCGCATGCGCGCGCCTGCTGACGCGACGGCAGCGCCCCGAGAGCGTGCCGAAGAGAGGGAGGGGGCATGCAGCAGCAGCAGCGCCCTGGCATCCAGGCGTCGAGAGAGAGGCCCGGCCAGCGCTTCCGCCCACGGCTCGGCTCGAGCGCCCGGGGGCCCGGACGGATCGGCCCGGCCGGACAGGTCGAAGATGAGGATGCCGTCGAGGTGCGGTGGGACCAGTGCGACCAGAGCCACAGGCCGACCTCAAGCTGAAGGAGCAGCCCCAGAACCACTGGGAGGCGAGCAGCCCGGCAATGCTCCACGCGCCTCAGCCAGACGCGAGTGGAGAGGGGGTGGGCACCAGGGCCGCGACCCCCGTGAGGAGGACGCCTTCCAGCTGCGCAAGGACAACTGGAAGGAGAAACTTTCAGCAGCGAATTCGCCCAGTCTCGTGATCGACGACCACGTTGGACGTCGGGTCATCCACAGAAAGAGCAGGAGGAGGAGGCGGAGGAGGAGGAGGAGCAGGGACACAGCGGAGCATCCGAGGCAGAGGGATAACGAAGGGCTCCCAGGCAAAACGCAGTGCTCGCCCGCGCACCCGCACCGCCCTGTGAAGATTCTGCCCGTGGTCGGATGATAGCTGGCACAGTCCACGGAGTGCGCCCCGATTTGTGGGCAGGCGGCAGGGTCCCACCGGTGGTGCCCCGCTGGTGTGGTCCGACCATTAGGGCCTCACCCACATGTGGCGTCCACCATATTGTTGGAGGCCTGGAAATTGGCACAAACACCAGCACAGGAGGTTGCCTCCACATGGGAAAGATGATCCTAGATTTCGGTGTTGGTTGTAATATTTCGGTTACCTTGGAAGCCAGAATATTACCACCATCACCGAGATCGCAATCTCCTTCCCTCGGTGGAGGAACACCGCCGATATCGGTGTTGGTGTCAACCTCTAGGCCTGCGATATTGCGCATCGCAAAAAGCTCCCCGTTCGTTGCACTCTATAGGCCCGTAGGTTGCATAATGCCAACACTTGGGGTCTGCGCGCTGGTATCACTCCGTTGGCACGGCAGTCAACATCAATGATGCATCACCAGAGTGGCCGCATCCCATGCTGCACAAAATGTGGTTACAGACATCATCGATGGATCTAGATGTTGGTCCTGCAGTCCCGCGCCTCAAATGACAGACTGGAACGCACTGAGGCGTCCATTGAATGACGTGTCGATGGCACTGCTTTTCGCCAGCAGCGCTCAGTTTCCAGACGAATCTACATTATCGCTGCAGTACTACAGACACACAAGATGTGATTTGTCGTATTGCCATACTCCTGATTCGTGAGCTGCACGCTGTCGCACCCATCGCCATCGGTGTGATGATGCGTGGCCTTTTGCCAGTATTGACCTCGGCAGGTGATATGTTGATTAGATGTTCGCTGTCGTCGAAACATCGCCTCGAGCTGCGCACAAGCATGCGAAGCATATGCTGTTGAGGTTGTCGGAATCGGTTTTCCTGTTCGGCCACAGTTGTCCAGGGAGCAGGCTGTCTCGTAATGGTCGGTGGCCGTTGCGCATAGTCTTTGTGACGGTCAGAGTATGGGTACGCCTTAGCAGCTTCGATGGTCGAGGCAAGCAGATGTATGTGTGGGATGAATGGACGAACCAGCGAGTGGCAGAATGCCTCTACAAAGTGCTGGTGGACTGGCCGTTCGGGTGCTGTTGGAGATTGAACCCACAATCATCGAACGCCCAACCCTTCCAACAGGCTTCAATGGATGCCCGATGCCGTCGCAAACGCACGACTGCTGTGTATGGTTCGCCACCGTGCGCGCTGATCGGCGGTGGACAAACCTCCCTTTAGTAAACCTCCCTTTAGTGAAAACGGCCTGGGACCGAAACCGACGGACCTGGACCCGCAAAAATGACGGCCGCGACGCCCTCTCGCGAACCGAAAACGGCCAATTCCTTAATCGACGTGTCAGGGTAGGAGGTCTGTCCACCCCCGAGCTGAGGGGACTCGGGACAACCAACTGTGCTTGGCCGGCGGCCACGGAGGCACTCCGGAGCAGCGGCGGCACGGGCCAACAAGCTGCCAGCGGACTGCGACCCCTGCAGGCGGAGGAACGGCGAGGAGGAGGCCCTCAAATGCGCCCGCGGGGAGGCAGGGGAGCGGGGGGGACCCCTGCGCCCGCCCAGTAGTTTCCAGCACTCCAGGAAAATTCCAAGAAGCCAAGAATCTCTCAACTGAGGCTGGAGAGCGCGACAGGGCGGGGCGAAGCAGCGCGACCAGGACGGGGCGATCCAGGCGCCCAAGGACCCTCGGCGAGGCGCGCAGCGGCATGGGGGCTTTGCCCCTGGACACCCCGGGCGCTGCTCCAAGCTGGACACCTCTCTAGGCGAGGCCCTCAGCGCCATCATCCGCCGCGAGCCCGATTGGGCCCCAGAAGTTCGGCGGGCCCCGCGCGCCCAGCCACCTCTCGACCCTGCGCGGCGGAGAACCTGCGTCGAGCGACCCGCGGGTGATCTCAGCCTCAAGCGTCTTCTGCTTCTCCCCATCGTTTCTGGACGCTGGCACTGGGGGGGCCGGGGTCGCCCGCCGCGACGACGTAGCAGGCGGGCTGGCCCTGACTGAACATGCTGCCGTGTGCTTGGGAAAGCCATGATCGATCTTGCTTTGCCCTCAATCACCGCTTGTGCTCCCTGGCACAGCTGAGTCTTAGGCTATCCAATGCTTCATATGTTGTGTCGATTCTGTGAAGCTTTCATCCGACCCAGGCTCAGAAGCACGTCTACTTCCCTGAGAACTCATACGAAGATCTTGGATCAAGACTCTGGCCACGCCCCCACAGGAGGAGCAGGAGCTGGAGGAATGCCATCACATTGCAGAAGGGTCGGCCAGTGGGCTTATACCAGGCCTCATGGAGGAGGCTCCTCGACCCACCCCTCCCCCTTCGCCGCCTCCAGTACTGCTTCAGCGCCGTCTTGATAGGATTGCGGCCAATCGGGCCGAGGCGCTCAAGAGAACAAGGGACAAGCAGACGGAGGCGAAACGCCTTCCCACAATTGCACTCAACGTTTTCGGCAGTACAGCGCAGCAGCCATCGAGTCGGCAAACCGAGTTAGTCCGAGATGATCTTCACAGATGGTTCACAGCTGCCACTACCTGACTTCTCCTCTCATGTGTTATTGATACTGTCATTGTTACGTCGTTGCTGGCTCCCTCCCTCTCCCCCATGGTCCACCCTGCCAGTCTTTCAACCTGGACACTCACGTAATTTAGCGGGGTGTTATAGGGTCAGGTTAGTGCGGGGGAGGCATAGAGAGAGTTTGCGTGCGGCGCGGCCCGCCCGTGCTATGGTGATGTGCCCGCCACACACACACACACACACACACACACACTTCGGATACACCGGGCAGGCGCGCTCAGGGTACAGGGGCGCCTTGCTGGACTCGAGGGGGAGGTCCGCTTCCAGGAATGGGCTTTAGGTGGTGGTTCTCGTCTTCTGCTTCGGCTTGTCGTGCCGACGGCCTTCAATAGGCCCTATTTGTTTGGACTGGGTGAGCTTCACCTGTGCTCCCTGATCCGTTTCGCCCGCCTTGGCGGGCACGTGGCCTGCAGTTGCTCGAATACTGCTGCACGCCCCCGGCTGTGGCTCCCTGGTGGGGCCCTCGCGAGGACTTCCGACCCAATCCGATCCGATCCTCCTCCTGCTCTTCCTCCTCCTCATTTCCTTTTCATGATAGATAACCCCTCCCTGTCGCACCCCGAAGCTGGTCGAAAGGGCGGGCCGGGCGTTTCGCATGAGACTTTCTCACACAACTCATGATCCTGAAGCTAAGAATTTGCGACAGTTTCACGGATGGAAGGCGGTCTGTTTTCAAAATGTGGCTCTCGCCTTAGCGCCGCGCACATTCGCTCCAAAAGTTCGCAAGAATTTCACGGATGGAGGGCGGCTCCTTTTAAACATTGGCTCTCGCCTTGGCGCCGCGCATATTCGTTTCGAAAGTGTGCGAGATCTTCACGGATGGAAAGCGGTTCCTTTTCAAATGTTGCTCTCCCCGTAGCACCGCGCAAATTCGCCTTAAGAGTTTGCAGCAGTTTCAAGGATTCTCATGGTTAACGCCCCAACAACAATGTGTTGGCACTATGTCGGAACGTAAGGCGCAACAATCACGTTGATTCGCGGTGTTGAAGTCTCAGGAATGGTGTTCCAGCACGGTTCAGGATCATCAAGACGCACAATAACGGTGATTCGCCGCGTTGGAGCCCCAAAAATGGCGTTCTGAAACAATTCCGGATTTTCCAACGGTTGTCTTCCACGAGGGCATCTCCCTCAGTGAAAATGAATCCGTGTAGGAAAGTATGAAGAGGAAACTTGGAGGGAGGGTTTATAGCAACATCGTTGATGGGTCTTGGGTTTACACTAGTCCTCCTCCTCCTCCTCCTCATCCTCCTCCTACTCCTCCTCCACATCCTCCCCCCTCTCCTCCTCCACATCCTCCCCCCTCTCCTCCTCATGCTGCCCCGCCTGCCCCTTCTCCTCCTCCTCCTCCTCCTCTCCTCCTCCTCCTCCTCCTCCTTCCTCCTCCTCCTCCTCCTCCTCCTCCTCCTCCTACTCCTACTCCTACTCCTACTCCTACTCCTACTCCTACTCCTACTCCTTATCTCCTCCTCCTCCTCCTCCTCCTCCTCCTCCTCCTTCCTCCTCCTCCTCCTCCTCCTCCTCTTCCTCCTCCTCCTCCTCATCCTCCCTGCTCCTCCTCCTCCTCCTCCTCCTTCCCTCCTCCTCCTCCCTCCTCATCCTCATCCTCCTCCTCCTCCTCCTCCTCCTCCTCCTCCTCCTCCTCCTCCTCATCCTCCTCCTCATCATCATCCTCCTTCTCCTCCTCCACCTTCGGGGCTGGAGGCGCGAGGGGGGCGGTCCAAGCGCCTGCGAGGTAGAAGCCGCCTTTGGCCAGGGCGACCTCGCGTCAGCAGGCACGCTCATCGCTCAGGAGAAGGAAGGGGGGGGGGACCGACCGCTATAAGCTTGGCACTTGGAGCCCGCCGCCTGGCCCAAAAAGGCGGAGCGGGAGGGGGGAGGGATCTGGCAGTCCTTCGGCCGTTCTATTGTAATTTGCCGGTCTCCTGGGGGGATCTACCACGGAGTGTCCTGAGAGCTCCAGGGGGAGATGATGCGGATCTATTGATAAAAAGGCGTCCTAGAACGAACTCGTCCCTACGCTCTGCGCTGGCGTGTCCTGGTGTTTCTGCCTCTAACTCTCTCGCGGTGGTTACCCGCGACAATGATTACCCCGCCAGGGCGCCAACGTAGGAGGGAGGAGAGGAGGAGGAGGAGGAGGAGGAGGAGGAGGAGGAGGAGGAGGAACAGGAGGAACAGGAGGAGGAGGAGGAGGGGGAGGAGGAGGGGAAGGATCTGGTAGCGCCAACACCGACGATTCGGGGATTAGCCCTGCCACGACTGGTGTAGTTGGATGGTTGGCAGCCCCCGACTTGAGACATCCTCCCTCCCAACCCTCCATCCCACGTCCGTCTTCCCATATGCTGCCCCCTGCCCTGCCCTCCCTCACCTTCTCCATCCATCGCATGTCCTCTCCCTCCCTCCTCCCATTGCCGTTACCCTAGTACTCCCCCTTCCCATTTCCCCTGTCCTTCGCTCACATTCCCTCCCCTCCCCTCCCCAACATCCCTTCTCCCGCTGTCCTCGTCTCCCCTCCCTTCCCCTGTTCCCGTGCATTCTCGCCGTCAGTCAGTCCTCCCCCCACCCCTCTCCGTCTCCCATCACCATCCCACCACAACCCCACGCACTTTGCCCCATTACCCACTATTCCACCATCTCTTCTCCTTCTACTTCCTCCCCCCACCACCCCACCACCACCACCACCACCACCACCACCCCTCGCACTAAACCAGGAAGAAGAAAAAGAGGAGGAACAGGAACAGGAAGAGGAAGAGGAGGAGGAGGATGAGGAGGAGGAGGACGAGGGAGGGGAGGAGGAGGAGGAGGAGGAGGAGGAGGAGGAGGAGGAGGAGGAGGAGGAGGGAGAGGAGGAGGAGGAGGAACAGGAGGAGGAGGAGGACAAGGTAGGTGCGCTCGCGTCATGTCTGACGTCCTACCCCCTCCCTCCCATCCCCTGCCAGGGCGTGGATCTCCTCTCTATTCGCACAATCGGATGTCGCAACATGGCATAGCATTACATGGCATAGCATGGTGTAGAAAATCAACGCGTAGCATGACATAGAATGGCGTGGCCCACGAGACGACGAGGCCACGATCGCAGGCATCTCCCGCGGGAAGGACGTTCGCAGGGCTGCGCCCTCGAGCGCGAACGCGATCTGGCCCACCGACAGCACCACGCCGATGATCGCCATCAGCGCACGCCGCGGGATCGGCAGCCGCACGCACGGCGGCCCCAGCTTCTCCCATCCACCCAGCGCCTTGCAGGCCCTCGGCAGCGCCGCCCGCGGCGGCCCCAACGCCGGCGACAGGTGGCGAACCGCCGCCACGGCAACGCGGTCCGTCGCGGCGTCGAAGCCGTCTAGGGCCAGGTGCACCAGGAAGGCCGTCAAGATCACGTCTAGCTCCTGGGACGTGCTCCACGACAGACCGCACCACTGGCGCCAGCTCGCGAGCCCGCGGGCGCGGGCCGCGCAGCGCTTCGCCGCGGCGTCCGTCAGGGCGGCCGACTCCAGGAAGCTCAAATGACCTGCGCGCAGCGCCGACAGCGGCGCCCAGGGCAGCAGCCTCTGCCGAGCCAGCACGAAGGCGCGCGGAGGCTTCCGCTTCGGGCCGCACACCGTCAGGCCAGTCTGGGACGACGCCAGGCTGGCGGCCCGAGCCACTGCGAGCGCCTTCCCAAAACGGCCCCGCGAAGAAGCCTTGGCACGAGGGGGCATCCGAGGGTTGAGCTCCGACGGGATCCACCTCGCATAGGCGCGGCAGCCCGTCGCTAGCAGCAGCGAGGCGACGCGCAGCAAGGGCCTGGGGAGGTTGGCCGAGCGCCCACGGCCCTTGCCCGCGCTGAGAGCTAGAGCCAAATTGTCCACGAGAGGGAGGAGACGATGGCCCTGAAGAGACCCTGTCCTGAGCAGGTGGCGAAGCGCGAACTCCATGGCATCCCCCTCAGACTCCTAAATGTTTCCCCTCGCATGTAGACCCTGCTAGAGCGCGCCACCTTCCAGGACACGCCGTCGAAGATCTCGTCGGGCACCTCTGAGAAGCTGCGGGGCTCCGCGTTTCCGGCCAGCGAGCTCACGAAGTCGGCGCCATCAGCGAAGCCTCCAAGATCACCATGTCCCTCAGGTTCACCAAGATCCACCTAAATACAAGATCCTGAAGATCCACATGAGGAGGCCCTTCGGACCCCTGAAGGGGTTCCCCTAGAGCATGCCGACGGGCCGCGATAGCGTCGGCGAACTTGCACCTCACCTTTTGCGGCGAAACGCCCTATGGTAGCGACGACACGTGGAAGAAGGCGACGACGACAGACCCCGACGCCGCATCCCGAAGAGTCCGACGCCGCGACGGCGCCAGCCCAACGGGGCCGCCAAGACAAGGCCCGCAGCGGCAGCGTAGACTGGACCCAGCGGAGCCAAAAGGACCCCTTACCACAACCTCACCTCGTCGGCTCCGAAGACCTCCCACGAGCAAAAGCGAATGTCGCAGACATCATTGATATGGGCTTCTCTCCGACTGAGCATCGCCCATGCGATATGGCCAACAAGCGTAGACAGGGAACGGGGAGACATCTTGCCACGGCCGAGCACAGATCGAATACACGACCGAAGCCTGACAAGACGAGAGCATGGCACTCTCATGGCTCCATTTAACTCCGCAGAACCCGAGACCGGTAAATATCACGGAAACGCGAGCGCCCTGCACCTCATGCACAGGAAAGCGGTGACGAGCGATCGCTCCTGAGATGGACAGCAGCTCGCGGTCGGAAATCTCCTTCGAGCCTGCGACCACGGGCCGCTGCAGCCCAATCCGACGGGGGCTGCAGCTCCAAGGAAGGCGCCACGCCCACGATGAAGCGACTCCCGCGACATGATATTGGTGAGAGCATCCCGAAATAAACGCAACGCCCAGTTCCACCCCCACTGGCATCACCAAAATCTCGGGAACGACATCGATATTCAGTGGAGGGCTACCTATGCGAAGCACGCGATTCGCGGCACACGGCAGGGCGAAGGCCTGAACAAAATCTTCTGGAAGCCTCGCGCGGCAGAAGGCGCACTGGATGCCGGCTGGCGCCTAGTGGCCGACGACGTCGGAGCTGATCTCCAGGTTAGCCCACGCGGCGCTGGTCGGCAGCTTCGCGCCAGCCGGCCCGACGAATGAAAGATCGGCAATACGTCTGTCGAACACCACCCCGAGGTTTAACCGCAGCACGCCCGCCGCCCCGAGCCGACATAGGAAGTCGGCGTAGCGGCCGGGGCAGCCCAAAAGAAGAGGACCGACGCAGGGCTCGACCAGCCCCGCCCTCCCCCCCGCCTGGCGACTGCCAAAGACTCGGAGACCAGCGCACTCGCCCTCCATGACCCCAGCCTGTCACGGGAGGCCCGACTGAAGATCTGATCCAAAGGTGTCGGAACCGCCCCCGCAGCAGGCCAGGGCGCGAGGCCCTTGGCGCAGGGCCAAACCGTGGCACCGCCATCACAGTGCCAAGGAGCGCTGCGGAGCAGCTCCTCCAAAACGGCTTCCGCGGCAGCGCTGCCGACTGCCAAATCGGCAAGCCACGGAAAAGATCGAAATGCCTCGGCAATATGCGAGAGGGCGAACTCCCGAGGCAGGTTGTCTGCTCCATCGGGCGCCGACACCACGCGAAGATCATAGCGCTGGCCATTCAACTCGTTGAGACTGCCCATGCACTCGCTGGCCCAGCGCCTCCAAGCCGCCCCGCGATCACAACGCTGACGAGACCGTCGAGAAACACAAAACTCTCGCGAAACGTCGACTGCAAGCCGAGGGAGTGGAGAGATGTCGCGCCGGCGCCCAAGGTGGCCGAACGCCATCGCGAAGCTGAGCAGCTCCAGGCCCGCGATACCCTGCAGCCTCGCAAGAGGGGCCTGCCCCAGGGTTGAGGCGCGCGCAGGGCCACTGGCGCGACGCCCGCTCCTCGCAGGCTTTCCTGCGCCCCTTGGCTACCGTGGCCTCGGACTTCAACTCATCCGCAATCCAAGTGCTCAAAAGCCGGCAGACACACGCGCTGCCTCTGCTCTCCTGCGCGCCCAAGAACAGGTCGTTTTCCACCCTGTCGTCGAGCACCTGGCCCTTGTCCTTGCCCATCTGGTCGTTGCCTTCCTGGCGGAAGGCGAGTTCCACGACCTTCCCCTCCAAAGCTGGAGGCGTGTCGTTGTCATCTCCAGGCGCGCTAGCTCGCCCACGTTCACCTGGTCGTAGCACACCACCAGTTCCAGGATGCGACAGAGGAGCGCGCGTTCCCTGGTGATCGGATCGTCCTCCAACATCCGCCACTCAGTCATCCACTCGGTGCGCCACGCTGACGGGGAGCCAGCCTGCCGCTGGATGTGGGCGCATGCCCACGCCGCCGTGCGTGGCCCCCGCACTGGCCAGTCCCTCCAGCTGGTGCTCGCGTGGAGGTTCGTGCCGTCGCGGAACTCCCTCCAGCGACCACCCTTGATGTCGATCGTGATCGGGTTGACCCCGAGGTCGGCGCTCGCCGCAGGCGCCCCAGCAGCGGCTCCAGCGGCAGGCGCCAGCGCGCCTCCAGCGGCGGCCACCACGGGCGGCGGCGCCGCGGGCGCCGCGGCGGGCGCGGCAAGGGCGGCAGGCGCCGCTGCAGCTGGCAGCGGCGGGGCGAGCAGCGCTGGCAGGCCGACCGCGGGTGCGGCAGGGGGCGCGGCACCGCCAAGCGCCGCCCCCAGGCCAGTGAGGGCGACCGCGCCTCCACCACCCGCGGGCGCAAGGCCAGCGACCAACCCTGGCGCGCAAGCGGCCGCCGCGGGCGCCCCAACGGGGGCGGCAGGCGCTCCGGGCGGCCCGAGGGCCGCGGGCGCGGGGTCGGGCAGCAGCACCGGCCCAGCGGGGAGACCCCCCGCGTTGCCGATGGCGGCGGGCACGCTGGCGGGCGATGGCGGCCTCGGCAGCCCGTGTAGCGCCGACGCCTCCGCGACGCCAGACCGCACGTCCGCCGCGGCCGGCAGCGCCCTGAAGCCACACACGCGCAGCCCAGGAGGACGCTCGCCCTGGCCACACAGCATGGTGATGCCCGCCACGTCCACGTCGGGCACCGCCGTCTCGTCGTACCTGTCCCCGTCGGGCGCGATGACACATTGCGACGCGCCTGGCCCACGGAGAACGATCAGCCTCTCGTGCCAGACGACAGCTCCGCCCACACGATATCTTGTGAAACACCACTGCATTGGAAGGGCCATATTCGGAGCCCAGCGGACTTGCGATCACGAACGGCCCTCACTTGGGCTCGTGCCTTCTCCTCGAAGTCGGGTTCCCCGGATGGCGCGGGAGGCGATGCCGGGCGCCGCGCCAGCAGCAGCCCCCCGAGCGGGCCGCACGCGGACCCCGTCACCAGAGCAGCTGCGGCGCAGGCCAACGCCAGGCCGCCGCACGACGGCCCAAGCACCTGGCCGCCCGCGCCCGCGCAGGCGCACCGCGCGGGGGATGGCAGGGCCAGGTGAGCTGGGGCGCGCACGCCCCGCAGCTCGGCGCAGCCGCCCTCGCCACCATGGAGGCCCCCAAGGCCCGAGCTCCGCATCGCGCCGCTTCTCCGAGGGCGTGGGCGAGATCTTGCATGGAGCCGCTCAAACTAAACTGGAGCCGCAGCGGTTGCGGTACACTCCACTGCAACGACCAGACCAATCAGAAGCAGCTGTATGATGATGTAGGTGGCTTCCTGTTCCTGCGCGGGGTGTTCAGAGAAAACAAGAACCCCACTTAGGATGTGGGGAATCAGTTGTTCGAGTCCCGAGAGAATAAATGCGTTTACCCAGAAAAAAAACATTGTCTCCACTCTTCTCCCCAGCGACGGCCGCATCATGACCATGCTCCTCTCGCTCCTCCTACCTCTCATTCCCTCTCCTCCTCCTCTTCAACCTCCTCGTCCTCCCCATCCTCATCATCCCCCCCCTCCCCCCGTCTCACCCCGCCTCTCACCAGAGCCACTGAACTCCCGCGGAGCGCCGCGCTCGCTCGCCGCCAGGGGAGGTAGGAGCCGGCCTCCAGCACCAGCAGCGTGAGCGCAAAGGAGAACGACGAGGACAAAACCTCGGAAGGAGGGGAAGGAGGAGAGGAACACGGAGGGAGCGAGGGAGAGAGGAAGGGACAGGAGCATGGAGGGAAGGGGCGAGGAAGAAGGGAAGAAGCGAGAGAATGAGACAGCCGGGAGAGAGAAAGAGAGAGAGAGAGAGACAGAGAGAGAGAGAGAGAAGGATGGAGTGAGAGAAGGATCTGCGGTGCGGTCAAGATAACGAGGCCGTCTCGGGGCGGGGCGCGTGGGGCAGTAGCGCTCGGAACTTGGAGAGGACGCGCAGAAGCGAGCGCCATTGTTCTGGATGATCTGCGGCGTACAATCGGGGCCCTGAAGAAGGAACCCTTTTCGTTGGGGAGGGGCTCCGTGTTCCTTAATTGTTTCGCAGCTGGCCTTGGATTTTCCTTAGGTTTTCGATACGAAATCGAAGTTCAACTTATGGAAAATAGGGGCCTCGTTCCATATCTAGGGTTCCTTAGGTCAACGCCCCTACTGTACGCGGTCCAGGCGAGGTCGTTGGCATCGCAGTGGCGTCGCCCGGCAGAGTCGTCGGGTGGGGACTCGGCGGGTCGCCGAGTGCGCCGGAGTAATCGAAGAGCGCTTGTGCTGGGTGCCATGGTTGCGGGTGACTCCGAGGTGCCAATGCACAACCTGATATGTCCAGCGCTTAAGAGTCGGCTACACGCAAGAGTGACCCTGGGTAAGAGTGACCTTTGGTGCGCGGCTTTTCGGGGGCCGCGGGGGGGCAAAACCTGGGCGCGCAAGCCGCTGCTCCTGCTTCGTTTTCAGCCATCTGGGGGCCCATCTGTGCTCGCACCAAAGGTCACTCTGGCGAAAGGTCACTCTTACGTCTAATCGAAAGAGGGGGGGGGCCTACACGGGAAGCATTCCGCCATGCGGACGCTCGTTGGGCCATCACTCGGCATCGTTTACTCTGCCAGTTCACGAGGTCTTCTGCATCATGTTGTCGGGAGACGGGGAGGGGGATAGCGAGCGGGAGTGGGAGGCGGAGGACGGTGGAGGGGGAGAGGCTGGGGGAGGAAATCCTCGCCTCTGGCTTGAAATCGCTCATGATCCCCCGCTGCACGCCGTAGACTAGAATGTACGTGGTGAACGACATCACCTCGGCGCCCCCAGTCGTCCAACTCCTCATTCCCTGCGCCTTCGTCCGTCCTCCTCATCCTCCTCTTCCGTCAGCCATCAGCCTAAGCCCCTGCAGACCTCCAGACGAGCGTGGCTTCAACCAAAAAGATGATTCACCCTCCTCCATTCCATTTCCTCATAATCAATTCCTCCCTGTCGCACCCCGAGGCCAGTCGGAAGGGCGGGCTGGGCGTTTCGCCTGAGACTTCTTTGCAAGTCACGATCCTGAAGCTGAGAAATTGGCAACAAGTTCACAGAAGGAGAGCGGGTGGCTTCCAACAAAAGGCTCTCGCCTGAGCCCCGCGCACATTCGCGCTGAAAATTTGCAGGCGGGTGGTTTCCAACATGTGGCTCTCGCTTTAGCGCCACGCACACTCACTCGTCTTACAAGTGCACAAGAACTGCACGGATTGAGGGCGGTTCCTTTTCAAAATGTGGCTCTCGCCTCGGCTCCGCGCACACTCGTCTCAAAAAATTGCCAGACTTGTTCATATTTAGGGCGGGCGGTATTCAAACGGTGGCGCTCGCCTTAGCACCGCGCACGCTCGTCTAAAAAAACAAGAATCCCACCAGCCCTCTGGGCGTCGGTGGTTTAGAGCGTTTCTTCTTCCACCCCTCCTTCTTCCCCTTCGGGGAGGGGCTTACCCCTCCCCCCACCCCCTCCCCACTGACCTGGACAGGGGGGGGCGCGACGCGTTGGAGCGTCCAAGATGAGCCAAGACGACTCCAAGAGGGCCTCAGGGAGCCCAAGATCGCCTCCAAGATGGTTCAAGATAGCGCAAGATGCCTCAAGATGGTTCCGAAGATGCTCCAAGACGCTCCAAGACCGCCCCAAGACGGCTCTAAGTGTCCACTAGAGCTCCCCTCGGATGCCCCCAAGAAGCCAAAATGTTTCAAAACCCTAGGGAAAATCAATGTTTTTGGCGTTCTCGCGCTTTCGCTTCCGATGCCCACCCGAGGCGTCAAGATAGCTCCAAGATGGCTCAAGATAGCTCCAAGAAGGGCCCAAGAAAGCCCGAAGACGGCGCAAAGAGCGCCCAAGAGCGCTCCAAGAGCCCTCCAAGAGCGGTTCAGGAGGCGATTTTAGAGGCTTTCCAGGAGCGACGCTAATTAGTGCTTCCGCTTTCTTTGACAAATCCCCTCAGGATGGCCCCAAGATGGCCCCAAGAGGCCCCCCAAGAGGCCCCCAGGAGGCCCCCAAGAGACCCCCAAGAGGCCCCAAGAGACCCCCCAGAGGCACCCAAGGGGCAAAGATGGCCCCAATAAGCGCCCAGGAGGCCCCCAAAGGCCCCAAGATGGCCCCAAGAGGCCCCAAGAGGCCCCCAGGAGGCCCCACAGAGGATCCCGAACGGCCCACAGAGGCCCCCCCGAGGCACCCAAGACGCCGAAAAGCCCCTCAGGACGACCCTCTACTCGCCTGGGCGTCGTTTCTGGACGGGCTGGTGGGGATACGCGAAGCGTCTAGAATTTCACGGAGTGAGCGCGCTCCGTTTTAAAATGTGGCGCTCCCCTCAGCGCCCCGCATATTCGTTTTAAGCATATGCGCATGTTTCACGGGCTCCAGTGGTCGTCAACGTACCAGAACTTGCGTGTGGGGGCGACTCGGGACTGTCAGGGCGTCACAGGTGCCTTGATTCGCGGCGTTGAAGCCCCAGGAATGGCGCTCTGGCACGGTTCCTGATCGCCAAGACGCAACGGTCAGGTTGATTCGTGGCGCTGGGGTCCCGAGAATGGTATTTTGGCACGCTTCACGATCCTCCAACGGCGGCCTTCCAACGGGGTACTCCCCTCAGTGGACATGAACCCTGGTAGGGGCGTATGAAGAAGGAGTTTGGAGGAATGGTTAATTTCAACATCGTTGATGGGTTTTGGTTTTACACTGGTGCTCCGCCTCCTCCTCCTCCTCCTCCTCCTCCTCCTTCTCCTTCTCCTCTTCCGCCCTCGTCATCGACATCTTCGGGCAAAGCGGCAGAGACCTAAACCTCGAGCGCGCCTCAGCTTGGACCTGTTCGAAGTGGCGCTGCACGGTCAGCAACAGCGGCATGGCAGTAGCACGCTGGGGTCCCGTCCGCCCCGGGCCGCCCCGTCCTGCAGGGATGGGCACGGGGAAGCTGATGCACGTGGGCCACCTGGCTTCACAAGCCTGTGGGGGGGCCTCTGGGCCCCACGTGCGCTCACACCCCATGCCCACGCTGTGGACGGGAGGGACTCCGTGCGGGAGGCACGGAGCGGCGAGCGCGCGGCGTCTTCATGCGAGCGTGGGCGGTGATGGGCACCGCTGCGCGAGGTCGCGGGCGCGTGCGTTTGCTCCGCTGTTCAGTGGCAGGGATCGTGCGCCGAAGGGGGGTGTAAAAGAGAATGGCCCGCCCGCTGCTGCTCCTGCGCGTGCCTCCCCTCTGGGGCTTGCACGGGCCCCCGGTGGACTTTCTTCAGAAGGGGGGCTTGGTGCTCCATTGAAGCATGAAGGGACCGCACCGAACCGAGAACCGAGAACCGTGACCGAACCGGACCGAGGCGGTCCAAAACCAGGAACGTAGAAAACCGAACCGGACCGAACCGAATTCATTCAGAACCGAAATGGCGAGAACCGAATCGAACCAGAACCGGAACCAAACCGGAACCGGGCGGCCCCTGAACCGAACCGACGGGAACCGAACCGAACCCCTTTCCCCCCCGGTCCGGACCCCAGGACCCCGATGACCCCCAGGACTCCTGGACCCCGATGACCCCAGAACCTCCCGAAGATTCCCACGACCCCGATGACCCCCATGACCCCAGGACCCCCGTAGATCCCCGGGACCCCAGGACCCAAGGACCCAAGGACCCAAGGACCCCCGGGACCCCAGGACCCCAGGACCCAGGACCCCCTTCAGGGCTGCGACCCCCCTCGCGGGTGCGACCCCCCTCGGTGCGACCCCCCTCGGGGGTGCGACCCCCCTCGCGGGTGCGACCCCCCTCGGGGCTGCGACCCCCCTCGCGGGTGCGACCCCCCTCGGGGCTGCGACCCCCCTCGCGGGTGCGACCCCCCTCGGGGCTGCGACCCCCCTCGCGGGTGCGACCCCCCTCGCGGGTGCGACCCCCCTCGGGGCACCTCGCCCCTGGAGTGCCCGCGCCTCCACGCTCCACGTCCTCCTCCTCCTCCTACCTCCTCTGCCTCCCCTCCTCCTCCTCCTCCATCCTCCTCCTCCTCCTACTCGCTCCTCCTCCTCCTCCTTCTCCTCCTCGTCGTCCTCCTCCTCCCTCCTCCGCCTCCTCCTCCTCCTCCTCGTCTTCGTCCTCCTCCTCCTCCTCCTCCTCCTCCTCCTCCTCCTCCCCCATCCTCCCTCCCTTTTTTTCAAACTGGGTCGTCGCTTACGCAAACGGGGCGCCCAACGTCGCACCTGACCAGTCGGGCCGAACCGAACCGGAGCGGCCACTCGAACCGAACCGAACCGGTCGGACCCAACCGCGCGAAAACCGGAACCGAACCGAACCGGCGGCAGGCCCAAGCCGAACCGGCCGAAACCGGACCGATGCCAAACCGAACCGGCCAAAGAAAACCGACCCGGCTGCAGAACCGGACCGAACCGAACCGAGCCGATCCCTTCATGTTGAAGGCGGGTCGTCCTGCAGCGGCGGGAGTGCCCTCTGTGGCGAAAGGATAGGGGGCTGCTCGATGGCATTCCTATTGCTTCAGGCCTTTGATGATGGATCCTCCCACCCCTCCTCCTCGTCCTCTTGCTCGTCCTCCTACTCCTCCTACTCCCCCCCACACCTTCTTTTGCGTTCCCCCCGTTGCCTTTGCGCTCATGCTCCACCTCCTTCTCCTCCTCCCCATCCTCCCCCCCCCCGCCCTCCTCATCCTCCTCCCTTTTCTCTTTCGCCCCGTCCCGTCTCATCCTCCTCCTCTCCCTCGCCCATTATCCTCCCCCCCTCCTCGTCCTCCTCTGACGACGCTGGGGGTGGTGCCGGGATGTAGAGGTCGGGCTCCTCGATATCCACCTTGGACCGCGCCACGGCAACGATGCGAGGAGGCGAAAAAGAAATGATAATGAGGATGACATAGTAAATACAAAACGTGAAAGAATAAAGGCATGAGCCCAAACAGCCAACGATCACAACGGCTTTTACCACATCCTGTCTCTCTCTCTCTCTCTCTCTCTCTTCTCTTTCTCTCTCTCTCTCTCTTTCTCTCTCTCTCTCTCTCTCTCTCTCTCTCTCTCTCTCTCTCTCTCTCTCTCTCTCCCTCTCTCTCTCTCATCTCCACTCTCCCGTCTGATCCCTCCCCTGCCCGATCATCTCTCCTCCTCCTACTCGACCTCCTCGTCCTCGTCCTCCTCGTCCTCGTCCTCCTCGTCCTCGTCCTCCTCCTCACTCCTCTCCTCGGTCTCCTACCCCTCCTCCTCCTTTCCCTCTTCCTCCTTACCCTCCGTCTCCTCCTCCTCCTCCTCCTCCTCCTACTCACCCCTCTCCTCATCTTCCTTATCACCCCTCTCCTCCTCCTCCAACTCCTCCTCCTCCTCCTCCTCCTCCTCCTCCTCCTTCTCCCCCTCCTCCTCCTGCAAAACCCCGAGGAGGGTTCTGCACGGGAGCCCAGTGACAGCGATGACGATCGGTCACCTTTTTACTCCCGCACGGCGAAGCGAGTCTCGGTGGCTTCAGCCGTTAAACACTTGAGCCAAAGGTAACAGGGTCACCTTCCCTCCCCAGTCACCTGAACGCTTACATGTTAACACCCCCCTCGGACGCTAGTCCGCATAGGCTGACGGGGAGGTGTCTACAAACGCAAAAACAGGTTAAACTATGCAAAACGTTGCACGCAAATCATCATATTGCTGAATTCGAAATGTCTCGTGACTGCGCTTACGAGCACCAAGTTTCTCACACATGGAACCTGAGCTCGAGTAAACGCTTTTACTGTCACAAGTTCAAACGAAGCATCTAAAGTTTACACAGCAGGTTAGCATTTGGATGATTGTGATTGCTTTCGCTTTTTATTCGCCAATACCTGCGGTAACAACAAGAGATGCGCACGCAAACAAACTCAGCTCAACAAGCTACCGCCACTCGATCGTTAAGCCAAGTTAAGAGGGGAGATGAGGAAGAGCGTAAACTGCAGCATGCTGACTGCCTGCCGTCTTTCACGAACGGCGCGGGCGCCTCGCCGACGGGGCTCGTGAACCCCTCGACCTCGGTAACCCGCGATGTCCCACGCTGGCTGCGGTGTAGGACGACACCCTGTTAAGGGCCTGCATCGGGCTGTAGTAGTCGGTGTCCAGGTACGCGTTAATGCGCTCATCGTCGTCAAGCCAGCACCCCTCATCGTAGCTCTTACTGGAGCCGTCAACGATGTTGTGGTAGGTGCCGATGGCCCTCCAGTAACTGGCGTGGGGAGCCTTCAACAGAGGCCCACCGCCTGGATTGTTACGGAGGTGCTCTTCGACCGCAGCGCCGGTAAACGGGTTCACAGTCCAGGCCGGATCGGTAAGCCAGTTGGGGAAGTCGTCGCACAGTAACCAGCCAAACCAGCAAAGCTTCTCACGGTGATCGCTTTTACGCTCGGTGACATGAACGGCCGGCCAATTATCACGGTAAAGTGCCCTCATGGATCCCTGATCGTTAAGGGCAACGTCCAAGATGGTCTGGTGCCAGTAGACTGGAGGCTTGTTGATACTGCCCTTTAACTCCTCGGTGCTCCTGACCTCGAGGTCGTCGATGAAGTAGTTACGGTAATGCACCTGGAGCCCGTTCATGTAACGGCAGTAAAGCTTGGCGAGATCGGGCGTCGCAAAGCGAATCACGGTAACTCCAGTCGAGATGCAACCGTGCGGCCCACGGGCGTCCTCCACCAGGTGCTTAACGGAGATCACGGTGGGGTTGCCGTGGGGCAGCATTCCTGCCCACGTTAAGAGGAGACCATTAAGCTGCTTCTCGTTCATCTCCGGCACCTTGTTGACGTACACCTGCGTGTCCGGGCAACTGTGGAGCTCAAACCACGATGGGTGAAGCTCGTCAACGTGGAGTGGTGGCACGTACTCATCGTCAAATAGGGACTGTACGTGCCCAACCGCGTCAACCCATTCATCATGCTTGGTCAACTCTTTCTCCGTTAATTGAGATCTCCAGCTGCTCGGACCTTTCAACACGGCATAGCCGATGAAACCGTAAGCATGTTGGCCAAAGATGTCAACGAACACGTCATCGCAATCGTTAAGCTCCCGCCCTGTGTTGCCCTGAATAGACCTGCCGCCAGGGGTCCTTAACCCTGCCGTCGCCACGTGCCCGACGAAGTTACCCTCAAACCTGCGCCAGTTGTCACGTGTCTTCATCGTTAAGGCTACCACTTCCCTGGGGTCAGGTTCCGCCCGATAGTTAACGTCGTAGTCGTCGCTCCTGTCGTTCAGCGCCGATGTCATGGGCAAATGCGACCGCCGAGTTCGTCTACAGCGGCGGTACACACGCCTTGGCGACGGTCCAGAGTAATCCCGCAGAAAAGGGACACAAAAAAACTCCAGGACAAGCAAAGAAAACACCGACCTAGCCCACAACTGACCGTGCCGCTCCTGCTCCCCGCCCACCGGATCATACCCATCCAGACTCGCTTAAGCCTCCCAATCTTCAGTCGGTGGCTGGGGACCTTGTGAGGAACCTGATACCCCTCTATTGGCTCTGGAGCTGTTGGCTTCAACAATCCGCAAACGTCTGCGCTTATGCCGCTCTGGAACCTCGCCGATCCCCGCAAGGGGCGCCTTGGCCGGCCTCCAAACGAGAAAAGCGGCGGTGCAGGATCCATTTTTTTTTTTTTTTATTTTTTTATTTTTTATATTTTATATATTTATTATTATTGTATATATTATTTTTTATTTTTTTTGTTTTTTTTTTTTTTTTTGCTATGGTACCATATCATCACGTTGACCACCAACCGTTCGATCCTCGTCCATCTTCATGCCTATCTGCATCAATTCTTCCAGCTCCCGTTCACGCTCATGCATGGCCTTCGGCGCCCGCTTGTAAACAGGCTGTGGCTCTTCACCGCCCTGCCGGCTCAACGTTGACGGTCGGATCTTGTTCGGCGACACGGACCGTCGACTCCCCCCGGCTTTAGTGGTTGCGTCGGCCAGGTCCTGAGTCGGGGGAGCTTTGCCTGATGGAGCCACGTTAACCTGCTGCACTGGGGGCGCGCCCGTGGCCATGGGCCCGACTGCCGCGGCGACGGCAACGGGCGGCGCCGTGGCGGGTGCTGCCGTCGGGGGCAACTCAGGCAACGGCGGCGGCACCTGCGGGATAATGGTAACCGAGGAGTTGATCGGGTCATCCAAGAACCTCTGCAAACCCTCAAGCCTCTCGGTGACTCCCACTAGCATACGTAGTGCCGCATCACGTTTACCTTCGAAGCCCTGCAGAGGCGTGATGTTCTCGGTAAGGCGCCTGGCGGTATTCAAGAGGCAACCGATATTTTCGTTAATGCGCCTGCACTTGGTCGCATTCTCCGCCGTGTTAACCTCCGAGTCGCGATTCTTGATGTTCAACTCTGTAACCGTTGCCACAAGGGTGTTAACCTCGTCCTGCGCCCTCTTGAGATTTTCGTTGACGTCGTCATTGGCGTGAACCAACGCGGTGTTCTGCTGTGTTAAGTCAACGATCCTCCGCGCCATGTCATCGGCAACCCTCTGCATCTCGTCAACGTGCTTGTCATAGGCCCCGTGAAAGTCAATGGCCATGTTGGTGAGGGTCATGGTATACGCATGAGCCACGTTGACGATATCGTCGACACGGCAATTGAGGTTCTCACGTGTAACCGGTCCTGCCCCAGGCGGGCTCTGGTCGACCGCAGCGCCGTTGATCGCTTGACTTGGTTGTCCGCCACGCTTTCGTTCACGCTCGAGGGAAAGAGGTAAAGGATGGAGGAAGCCTTAATCGAGACTGCTTGCTTGACAGAAATGAGCTGCGGATGTCAACATTCGGTGGCCGGCGCAAGGCTATGCCGACCTGTTAGTGTACATTGGTTTGTGTTTAGTAGGTGTGTGCTCATGCTCTCACGACTGACATACTTGGTTAATGCATCTGCTGCGTTCTCATGTGTGCCTACTTTCACAATTCGAATTACTCCCTCCTTTACCTTCTGCTGCAGCCACAGTTGACATACTTCAATGCGTCTCACTTTTCCTAAACCTCGTCTGCTCGCAATTGCAATTGCAGCCGTGGCATCACTTTTCAAGGTGATCTCAACTTCCAAATTAAAATCCCTCAACACGGCCTGAAGTCCTAGACCGACTGATCCTCCTTTCACAAGCCCGTAATATTCTGCTTCCCCTGACGATAATGCAATTACACTTTGAGTTGTGCTCCAAGATTTTATGAGGTGTTTACCCCACATCACTACTCCTCCACTCGTAGACTTCCTAGTTCGTTTACATCCTGCGTAATCTGTGTCCGTCCAAATCGTCAACTCTCGGGGCTGTTCTTGATACTGATACACAGAACTGCTTCTGCTGTGATACTTCAAATACTTTCCTAGCTTGACTAGGCCTTTCCATGAAACCATAGTTGGCTTTGACATGGTCCTAGCAAGTTCCTTTACTGAATACTGTATGTCCGATCTGTCTTGAGCTAAATATATAATTTGCTCTAGCCGTTAATGCCTGATATCGCTTAGTCATGTTGGGCGAAAGTTCTACCTCATCTCCCTCTTCAACTGGAATGCGCTCACCTGGTACCTCAGTCCTCACTTTTACTCCCTCAAGCTCAAGCTCTTTCACAATTATCTCCGCATGCCTTTGATCAGCCTCATATCTCAATCCTTCCTCAGTCCACTCCACAATCCTGTTAAGAATCCTGATTGCCTTCATGTCCTCCTGCCCCGGTCCAAGTCGTCCTCTCACTTTTACCTCAAACTCCTCCTTTATTGTATTTTCAAACCAATCGAGATCATGGTCACCCCCTAGTAGCGTAAAGTCATCCCCATGAACCGTTAACCATAGGGCTCGGGTCTCGTGCTTAAACAC